CCTTCTTAAGAGTCATTTGTTGGAAACATAGCCTGGAATGAGAGTGGGTGTGCATCTCACCACAGAGAAGACGCAGGAGGCTGAGCAGTGATCTAGGTAAGGATGTAGGTTGGAGTGAGAGCAGGGCGAAGGTGGAAAGATTACAAAGGAAAGTCCTGTTGGCAGACTGGCTCTGTGGGCTGAAGGCAAGGGAGAAGGTGAAGGTGAGACATGGGCAAGGAGTTGTCTGTCCTAACAACAGGCTATTGTAATGCTCTTACTGACCGAGGACTAGGACTGATTATTGGACTGTTTTCTTCTAAGTTGTTTCCCTTATAAAACAGACACTGCACTCCAGGCAATTTGATATACAGAATATTGAGTTTAGGACGTCCCTGGTGGTCCAGTGGTAAAGAATCTGCCTGCCAATGCAGGGGACATGGGTTCTATCCTTGGTCTGGGAGGATTCCACATGCCGGGAGGCAACTAAGCCTGTGTGCCACAACTACTGAAGCCCGAGCTCTAGAGCCCGTGCTCTGCTATAAGAGAAGCCACCGCAATGAGAAGCCCATGCATGAAACTAGAGTCTAGTCACAACTAGAGAAGGCCCATACACTGCAACAAAGACCCAGCACAGGCAAAAATAAAATAAATAATAAATTTTTGAAAAGAATATTTAGTTTATTGGACAGATAAAATAGGGAACTGATTTGTCTCACAAAAAGTGAAGCCTCGAGCTTCAAAGAGCCTTTGCCCATTTGTTCAAGTCACAGATGTGCTGTCTCCTTCCCTCTTCCTCCCTTCCTGCCCCTTCCTCACAAAGGAGAGCAGATAGACCATGAGCAGCATCTGCCTCACTTCCTGTTTTTTCTTGGCCTTTCCCTGGCCGCTTCTGTTATTTTTCGCCGGTGGTTTACCCAGGCTCCCTAACTTCCTCCCAGATCTTCCTCCATCTGGGCCCTTAACTGGCACTGGCCAACTAATGAGGCATGGGCCTGACCAACGGCAAGCTCCTGCCACTTCAGCCTGCAGGTGTCAGAAAGTCACCAGGGCCACTGTTCTATATGACAGCCTCCTCAACCCCACCCCAAGAAAGGGGGCCAGTACAGGGGAAAGAAAGTGAATGGTTTGGGGGTTAAAGGTCCCTGGCTCATGGATCATGAAGACTGAGTGGCCTTAGGAAAGTGCTGTCACCTATCTGAGGCTCAGACTTCACATCGTGAATCACAATAGTACCCCTTTCATAGAGTTGTTGTGGGGCTAATCTTCATGGGGATAGGTTATGATTAGAACCAAAGAGCCACACTGCATAGTCTCAATGCCACACCTTGCCTACTTCCTTTGGCAATTTGCCTAAACCAGCCCTGGCAGGGGAAAAGCCATCAGCAGGTGGGTGGCAGACCAGAGGGAGTGAACCGTGGCTGACCTTCCAGTTTCAGTGAGGACTTGGACTACTTCCAAGGCTCTGTCAACTGCCACAACCAACTGGCCTCACTTTGGGAAGCAACCTAGCATAGTCCATCAAAGGCATCTCTTCTGGAAGCTATGAAAGTGTTTCCACTGATGGAAACCAATTTCTGTACACATGGGCCCATGTTCAAATGCCAAGTCAGAAGGAGTCTGAATTCTCCTTGAATACCCTTTCTCATCCACTAAAGATGGAAATTGAAGTTGAGGAGATTAAGTGATTTCCCCGGAGGTCATGGTTAAGGTGATACCTCGATGTCAGAGCAGGGCCTTCTGCTGAATCACAGATCTCTCTTGCGATGGCAAAACTCTGTGATTGTCAGCTTAGACTATGGAAACAAGCTCAGGTTTGAATCCCAACACTGAAGAGTGGTGGAACTTTCGACCAGTTACAACCTTTCTATAAATCAATTTCTTCACATGTAAAATGACTGGTGTCATAGTACAGGGACATAAAAAGCACTCGAGAAGCATGCTGTTAGTTGTCATTAATGGATACATGGAAAATTTGTTGTTCAGTCTCTCTGTCATGTCCTACTCTTTGTGACCCCATGGACTGCAGCACGCCAGGCTTCCTTGTCCTTCACCATCTCCTGGAGCTTGCTCAGACTCATGTCCATTGAGTCAATGATGCCACCCAACCATCTTATCCTCTATCATCCCCTTCTCCTCCTTCCTTCAATCTTTCTCAGCATCAGGGTCTTTTCCAATGAGTTGGCTCTTCTCATCAGGTGGCCAAAGTATTGGAGCTTCAGCTTCAGCATCAGTCCTTCCAAAGAATATTCAGGGTTATTTCTTTTAGGATTGACTGATTTGATCTCCATGCCATCCAATGGACTCTTAAGAGATTTCTCCAGCATAATTTGAAGGCATTAATTCTTCGATGCTCAGCTTTTTTTATTGCCCAACTCTCATATCCATATACAACTACTGGAAAAACCATAACTTTGAATACATGGACCTTTGTAGGCATGGAAAAGAGCCCAAGAGAAACCAGGGCTGGTTGGTCTCATCCCCAGACTCCAGTATTATGTCTTCTTGTTCTCAAACCTCATCATTTCACAGGGTTAACTGAGACTTGTGGGGCGGGGTGGTGGCGGTTGTCCTGGCTTTGCCCCATAGCTCCAGAGCAGATGTTATTTTACATATTTTTGCTAAATATTTAATACCTACAATAAGTACCTAGAGACCCACCACACAACTTAAGAAATAGAACACTACCATTGCCTTTGAAGTCCTGTGTATACCTTCACTCCAATTCACTGGCACTCCACTCCCTGGTAACCATTCACCTGAATTTTGCATTTATCATTCCCTCCATTGGTTTGACCATATATCCTAAGTAATAAATTAGTTTTACATGTCTTTAACCTTGATCCTTGGAAGAAAAGCTATGAGCAATCTAGACAGCATATTAAAAATCAGAGACATTACTCTGCCAACAAAGGTCCATCTAGTCAAAGTTATGGTTTTTCCAGTAGTCATGTATGGATGTGAGAGCTGGACTATAAAGAAAGCTGAGTGTTGAAGAATGCTTGCTTTTGAACTGTAGTGTGATGTAATCTCTAACTCAATGGACATGAGTTTGAGCAAGCTCTGGGAGTTGGTGATGAACAGGGAAGCCTGGTGTGCTGCAGTCCAAGGAGTCGCAAAGAGTTGGACCCAACTGAGTGACTGAACTGAACCGAATTGAACCTTAATATACTCAGTGGGTAAAGAACCGTCTGCAATGCAGAAGACATAGGGGATGTGGGTTCAATCTCTGGGTTGGGAAGAACCCCTGGAGTAGGAAATGACAACTCACTCAAGAATTCTTGCCTGGAAAATTCCATGTTTGGAGGAGCCTGGTGGGCTACAGCCCACGGAGTTGCAAAGAGTCAGACATGACAAAGCTCGAACACAAACAGACCTTAACATAACTGGAATCATGGTGTATGATCTTCTTTAACTTGCCTTTATTGCTCAGATTATTTTTGTTATTTATCCATGCTGATCAATTGTAGTTCACTCATTTTCACCATTGAATTACATGAATATGCCACAGTTAATTTATTCATTTTCTCATTAATGGGCAATTGAGTTGTTCCCACTGTTGCTTCATTTTCCATTAGAAAGGGTGTTTCAGTGACAATTCTTGCATACGACCTTGGCATACATGGTATACTTTGAGTGTTCTGACACAGTGCTATGTCATGACCTCATGCTGGTCATCGGTATGTATCCCATCAAATGTATTAGCTAATACCAAGCTTTTCCAAAGTGATTGTACCTAGTTATATTTTTATCGGCTATGTATAGGAGCTCCAAATTTTCTTTAAGGTTGGTACTATCCATTTTCATCTATTAATAGTAATTAATTAGTTTTCATATTCACTGTGCTGTGTAGACCGAGACTGAGTGTTTATCATGCTTTATCGATCTCCACGTGCTATGGAAAGAAACCACGTTGTGTGGTCTCATTCTGTTCACAAGTTATCAGCTTAGACTTGGTGTCTTCCATTTCCATGATTGCATGGACCTTCATGGGAAGCTGATTAGAGCTGCACAGCAGTCCTGCCAGTTTGGAACATCATGGTTATCGTGCTACATACCACATGGGATAAAATGTCCAGTCTGGAAAAGCAGACTCTCATTTTTATCATGTCAGACTAGACACAGTAAAAAGAAGAAAGACAAGTGGCTGTAAAAAGAAAAAGCAGAAGTGTAACTCTTGCTCTTGGTCGTCTTCTCTGGGGAAATAAGTTGCCAGCCCAGGTGCTGAATAGAGTTGTTGGTTGAGAGCAAAGCAGCCAATGGGGTGCACTTTACAGTAATTTGGAAGGAACAAGATGATTACCATCCCATTCAGTGGAGCTCATTTTCCCTGATCCTGATGACATTCTACATGCCTTCACCCTCCTGGTCTACTAGTTCCTTTCAGTTAAGAACTGTGAGGAGAGGAGGGATGAAGATCTAGAACTCCTTTGAGATACACTGCAAGAAAACTGAGCTGCATTTTGGGGGAAATAAACAAAACGGATGAGTCAAGCATTTATACATTTCTCATGAAAGATGATCTGCTCTCTTACCAGACTGGCGAATTCCATATAGTTTGGCTGAGCAGAAGGGCCCCACCCTTCAATAGCCCTGAGGACTCTGCTCCTGACCATCTGGTTGAGCTAGAAATCCAGAGGCAGTACATGAATGCGAATAATCAAGATTTACCGGGAGAAATACAGAACCTCTGTGTGGACAAAGAAGCACAGGAGAAAAGGATCCATCCACCACATCCATTTCCCATTGCCACTGCTGCCTTACCGTCCTCCTTCTCTTTTTTCCCTCTTCTGCCTCTTCCTCCCCGCCCCCAGTCCCCCACACCCCTCCCCTCCCCCCGCCTTTTCCTCCAGCTCTCTCGTTTTTTTGCCTCTTCCTCCCTTCTCTCCATCTTCAGCCAGACTTTGGGTCTGTAACAGGAGAGGTAACAGGGATCGCTCTGCTCGGCCCTTTCTGTGTGTTTTTCAGGCCCAGGAGAGGACTGGTCACCTGGATACATGTGGGAAACATATGCCAACTTCGTAAAGATGAGCAGAGCATTCCTGCTGGAGACAGGGAAGAGTGTCCAGGTACAAAGGGAATGGTCTTTCTCATTTTCTTCCTCCCCGACCCTAAACTGCCTCCTGCTCTCTAAATGACAGACAAGATCGAAGGTTTCAGAAGAGGTAAAAAAAGAACTGTCAAGTCTTCCAGGAGGGAAGGGGCCCCCTTGGGATGGGTTCAGCCCATGCAGGTGTGTTTACCCACACTGTTCCGGGGTACCCCTTACTGCTCTCATGTCTGGTCGTCACTGGGTCTGGTAAGGGGCTAAAAGTGAGCAGGGGGTGAGGACAGGAGGGGACAAAGGCAGTGAGGAAAGTGGCACCTGCCCTTCAGGGGACTTCCAAATGGCCTGATGTCAGAACAGCCTTGTTGGAAAGTTGTTAGATTTGTTCTCAGCTGACTTTGGGGTACATCTTGATTTTGTTTGATAGCATCTGGATATCAGCACACCTCCTGACACCATCAACCTGATAAGGTGCCCACACTGTACAGTGGACGACCTCTCCCCTTTCCCAGATCTCCTGTCTCTATCCCTAACGACCGTACCTAGAGCATTGTCTTCCCATTTGACATAGATCTTCAGGATAACTAAATTCTAACTCTTTAAGTAAACTGTTACCACTTGATATTTACTTAAAAATATGTGGGGGAGCAGAGTGAAGAGAAACTGCACAAAAATGCCATTTTCATAGAATGATCCTTTAAGTGGAAAAGCTTATCCACGACTTTAGGCAAATGAGCAGGAAGTCCCAAAGAGACTTTCAGATGGAAATGATTATTCTGCTTTTCCTTGAGCCCTGGAAGAGGACAGCATGACACCTGCTGAAAACAAGGGCTATATGTGTTCAGGACAACAGGAAGTAGTGACCAGTCAGAAGCTTGTCCTGACCTGGTTACAAATCTGGTTATAAAAGAAAGCAGCTCAAAGGAAATTTGCATGTCCAATAGGTTTCACTATTAAAGTTTACACAATGTAGAGTAATCAGCCAAGCTGGCTGGCTACCCAGATCACATGATTATGTAGAAACATGAAACTTGACTATGTGCTCCAGCAAGTTTTACTTCTCCCTAGTACAGAGGTGTTTGCCAGCAGCCTGCACTCTCAGAAATCAGACTCAACTGACTGGGACCCTTGAGATCACAGGCTTACCATGCTACTCCCGAGGACGGCCAGGGACTGCTGACGTGACCACTGGACAGTGATTTGTGACTCGTATAGTTACAGAAAGAATGGATAAGCTTAATAAAATAACTGTCCCCGCCAGTCAGAAGTTGAGGTAAGATTTTTGCCAACCAATACTTTTCCTTCTTCTTCTTTTTTTTTTTTTCAATGATTTTACAGCATATCAGAAATACTGAAATGCTGGGATACTTTGCTTGTTCTAAGAAAGCCGAGTGCCAATTGCTATAGGGAAGTAGACTGTGTTTTTAAAGAAATGTGTAGGAACAAGTGGGCTTATTTTAGCTGACTTTGCCAGTGGTGGATTAAAATGTAAAGCTTTGAAGAGACAATAAAAAAAGAAAAGCCAAGGGCTTAGATTCTACCAGTGGTCAGCTTGGAGACTTTAAGCACAAGTTTTTCTAAAAAAAAGTTTGATTTAATCTGAATACTGAAAGTTTTCATTGTGGGTTTTTATTTAATGCTAAGGATTGTTGTAATGATTTGTATTAATTATAGTTTTACTATCTCATTTATTTTGTGGCTGTATATCACAACTGTTTTGGGGGAGATTAGATCTATTTTTCCAGTGTCTTCATGTCAGTGCAACAATTATCTATAAAAAGATTAAATAAACCACTTAGGAAGAATAAATAAACCAGAAGTGACCCAAGGGGCAAGAACCAAGAAACTCCTCTGAGCTATGGAAAAAAAAAAAAAAAAGACTTTCCAAATTTTTATTTTGAAGATTTTCTTTTTGTCTCACTGTAACAATATCAAGACTTTTGGACAGGGGAACTTTTAGGTGTTCGATGAGTGTTTTATATTTCAGCTACCATTTGAACTTCATTTTTTCATGGGTTGATGTGACACGTGTAGTAAGGAAGTTACCATAAATGATAAGGAGCTACAGAATTAGGGTTGTTGAGACAGAATTTAAGGGCAATTAGCCTGGGAATGGCCAAGGGACAGTCCTTGACAGTTATAATATGGGTTATATATCTGGTAGGCCCTTGGTAAATGATAGTTTGAAACGAACTGCTGGTCTAGAATCAAGAGGCAGCATGGCTGCGGTCAGTCCCTCCAAGGGCATGTTGGTAAGTGCTTCTGTGTGACCGGCCCTAATGGGAGACAAGAAGCTCTTGCCCTTGGTCTCACATTGCTACACCATCGTGGGAGGGGGCAGATAAAATAGCGCAAGTAGTAAGTGACTCAATGAGCGTAAGAAATGAATCGGAGTAGCCGGAGAGGTTTTAACAGAGAAGATGCATCAAGCATTAGGCTTTGTCAAAGTAAATGAACAAACCAAACCAAATAAAAATGAACATATAAATATGGAGAGCCAAGTAGTGGTGACCAGAAGGGAAGGAGCAGGGGACAGGGTAGGGGGCTGAAATGGGTAAAAGAAGTCAAGTGTATGGTGATGGATGGAAACTAAATTTTTGGTGGTGAGCATGCTATGATGTATATAGAAGTAGGAAATATAAGGTTGTAAATGTGAAACTTACATAATATTATAAACCAATGTTACCTCAATAAAACAAAATAAATAAAGAGCTAGTCTTTGAGACGCATGTAAGATAAAAAGAAGTTGGGAAACTGGACGCTTGGAGCTGGACTTGAGTATGTCCATTTGTAGGATGATGGGAACTTCCTTCCCAACAGAGGCTGTAGAGTAGGCATGCAGGACCAGAAGCTCCTGGTGAGGTTAGACTCATAGGATGCAGCCATATCACAAAGGATTGTGAGGGCTCAGCCACAAAGAGCTGGAAAACAGTTTACACTGTTACAGGTGTCATGCCAACAGGCTTAAGGGCGGTTGTCAAGGATACTCGGTGAGAGGGGGTGGCTAAAGTAACCCAAGCTTCTAATGCTGCAGGCCTGGACTTGGGGCAGAGCAGTGAGAAGGGAGACGGAAGGAAGGACATGACCAAGAAATTTTAGGGTTTCTCTCAAAGGAGCAAGAAGGTTTAGAAGGTCCTTTTCAGGGATATTCCATAACCTAAGGCTGTACTAAGTTTTAGAACTTCTTCCAGGAAATCCAGATGAGATTTTAAATAGAGGAGGGCAATAGAACCTAAATTACTTTACAATTGTGCCCTTAGGGACAAAGTCCAGCTTTCTCACAGAGCCATCAACAGACAACATACAACCATAGATTAGAGGGTGGAAAACTGAAACTGTATTGTGGATAATCATGTATTACATTCATCTGCTCAGGCAGAAGTAACTTTTCTTCCCCTACTTGGTGACTAAGTTGTTTTTACAGAATTGACCTGTTTTGAAAAAATGTGCACTGTTGATGTAGAACTTTTCAAAGAAATTAAATTGTAAACATAATGAACCTGAAGCACCATTTAAAATCTTTTCTGTAATTAGATGGGATGGCAGGGCGTAAGTAACTTTTTTTCCCCACTAGGTGACTGAGTTGTTTTTACAGAATTGACGGTCTGATAAAATGTGCACTGTTGATATGGAACTTTTCAAAGAAATGATATTGTAAACACAATGAACCTGAAGCACCATTTAAATTCTTTGCTGTAATTAGATGGGATGGCCGGGCGTAGGTAAATGAATTCTTAATCCTTTTGGTTTGCATCCTCTGTCTTGACTGGTTAGCATCACTTCAGCAGATTGACAACTGTGCAATTGTTTGGCATTGAATGACAGTATAAGTGAAGAGCTGAGTTCATACTCTTAGGTTTATCAACACCTAAACATACTTTGCTTAAATTATTAGCCAGAAAAAAATAGAGAGATAGTGAGTGTCCTTCTTGGGGGGAGGGAGTGTAAAAGGGATGAACTTGATCTAGGGCTGAAAAGAAATTAGAGGCAGGAGTGACCAGGAGGAAGAAAAAGCAGAATCACCCAGGAAAGTAGGGCAGGAAAGACTGGAAGGAAAGCGGAGAGTCTCAAAATGAAGGAGAAACAGAAGGTTCCAGATGGACCTTCTGAGACAGGCAGCTGGGGATGAATAGTCAAGTCTGAGTTCCTACTATTGAAGAGTTGAAAAAAGCGAAGTGGCTCCATTGTACGTGACCACAGAAATGTATGAGCACAGATTCTTGATTTTTTTCTCCCCTTGAGGCACTACATGAAGTTGGTTTCTCTGTTCGTGGGAGTCCAAAAACATACAGAATCTTTTAGTTGATTCTCAGCCATGATTTTCCCTGGATTTTATAAGTTAACAATACCACCAGAAAGGCACCTCAGACCTGAGGTCTCAATCCTTCCACAGTAAATATTCCTGTTCATAAAAATATTGCTGTTCTGGGTAAACGTTTCAACATTTACAATCCTAAATCACACTGACTGTATTTCTTTCAAGTTAGTGAAAAGGGTTTGTGAAGGAATTTTTATGTTTTACATATACTTTTTAAAACTTTTTATTTTATATTGGAGTATAACCAATTAACAATGTTGTGATAGTTTCAGCTGGACAGCAAAGGGACTCAGTCATACATATACACGTGTCCATTCTCCCCCGCACTCCCCTCCCATCCAGGCTGCCACAAAACATTGAGTTTGACTCATCACCTGTGCTTGTATTTTTCTTTCTAGCCCCCACAAATATATATTCACTTATTTTTACAAATGTGAAAAGTCTTTGACACAGGCATGGATAAGCCAAGTCTCCCTAATCCTTATCTTATTGGTGTAAGAATATGGTATTTTTCAGTCAAATTAACATATGTGTGACTTTAGGAGACTACTTAAACTTCCTGGTCCCAGCTTCTTCAGCTAAAAAGATAGAGATAGTAATAGCACCAAATCTCAAAGGGCTGCTGCAAGGATTAGAGCAATCCTGGCACACAATAATTATTGAATTGAAAAATGGTGGTTTTTTAGTACCTTTATTGTTATTCTTATTAATTCTATAGGTGTGCAATTGACTTTCTGAACAGAAGAAGAGCACTTTACATGGATCCTTGATAAATTTCATGTCAGTTTCAGTTCTTCTTTTTAGCTATTTTGGCTATTTTACCTGTTGATTCTGACATCTGTGGCATTTAGCTTTGCATGGGCTGTAGACGTGACAAACACCCTTTCTCTGCCTTCATCTAAGCGGCTAATAAACTGTCAAGCATGACAGAGCCCTGTCATGGGTATCTGGGTCTCACAACGACGGCTCTCACTTAGAGATCCTATTTGACAGACCCTGGGACACGACTTTTCGTCTCAGGTCTTGGAATCCTCAACTGGAGTTTTCAGTAACTTGACTCTTCCTGTTCACTTCAGAAACATTTATCTTCTTTTCACCTTTCTGTCACCAGCTTCCTCTGTGGCCCTCTCTGTTTCTGTCAATGGTGTCACCATTAACCCTAAGTCTGATTCATCCTGCCTTCTGTACTTCCACTCATCTACCACACCCTCTAGTTTTTATTTCACGATACTTCCATATACGCACTTCTCTTTCTTTTTCTACCACCCCTTCCTGGATAGGTCTTCATCACCCCTGTGTCCCCTAGCCACAACACGAGAAGTTTGGATCTGATTATTCTCAAAGTCCCTCTCAGCTCTGATGCTGCGTGGTCCTTTAGGCATGAAAACCATACTTGAAATGTTACATCTTCTGAGGCTACCATTTCATCCCGTGACCTTCAGGAACTATGTCCTAATGGAATGATCAACTTATTTGAGATAGTTTTCAAAATGCTTTCAAACACTTTTCTTACAAACTTTTTGAAAACTGTCCAACTCTGAACACTGGGGTCAGAGGATTCAACTAGACAGCATCCAGATACATCATCCAGAAGATAGCTATGATGTATTTTAGAAGGACAAAGCAACCGGTGCCCAAAAGGGAAAGGTTCCAATTGCCAACTACTAGCTGTGGGTCCTGATGATGTCACTCAACTTCTCTAAGCCCCAGTTTCCTCAACTGTCAAATAAAGCTAGAGATACCTTCCTCACAGGTGTGTTCTGAAGACATGGGCTAAAGTACCCAGAATATTTGTCATATGGTCAGTATAATGAGTAAATAAAAAGTAAATACAACAATCAATACTTCAACCCACCCTTCACGAGTGACTGTTTGTTATGTCGCTTCCTACTCATGGTAGTAGATCCAGCCCCCTTTAAACTGGAGTGGCAAGCAGAGCAGAAAGATGCCCAGGG